CGCGATCGAACAGGATTACGTCTCGCCCTCGAGAAGAACCGCACAAAGACTAAGCTCCAAGACTGCAATGCTAATGTTCACTAAGTCCCAGGCTAAAGCCGAAATCTCCAGGCCTGAGCCTGTGAAACCCTCAAACCCCAATGAAGCCTGACCTGCCCAAGCTAAAGATCTCCAAGTAGGAGTGCCACCCGGCCGGAAACAGCCTGCTTCAGCATCCTTCGAAAGAAAGCCCCGCCCTGAACGCCCGGAGCTGTGGCCTGAACGAAGCTTGAAAAGCACCGAGTTCTTGCTTCTTCACAGGCTACAGAAACTTTAGGGAGCCGTGTTGCGCGGGCGGCCAGGCGACTCCAACCCCAGCGCTGCGCGGCGGCGCCCACGAATGTCTCCTGGGTGTAGGCGACCGGAACAAGCTTCTCCGTCCCTGGCGGCTTACTGGTGTGAATGCGAGGGCGTTTAAAGCACGAAGAGGCTAAGAAAGGGATCGTCTGCCACCTGCCTGCAGCTATGCTCTCGTACAGCCCCCTCAAGTACCTCTCGGAGGTGTCGAGGTCCTGAGGCTCTCAAGCCCAAGCCAACCCCAAAAGCCCGCCCACTCCTCGGTCATCGATTCCTGGGATGTGACTTTCGACGTGCGTGTGGGGCCACAGCACATTCTGTAGAGTCCATAAAGTTACGGTTTCTGAAGCGCACCCTAGCCGAGATTCGGATCTGCAGCCATCTTGCCAACTTAGGGTACTCTTTTTTGGGTTCAGGGTTTAGGGTGTATAGGGGTTAGGGACTTGTAAGAGGCACCCAAAAGGGGGGTGCGGAGCTTTTGGATCGAGGATTGAAGACTTCAGCCATCCCCCTCCCAACTTCTGAGATTCAGGATTGTTGCCTTCACCAGTCAGGGAAGCTACCTTTCTCCCGGAACTTGGAACTTCGGGGGTTTTAGGGCTCTGCGCAACATCCAGGAAGAAGGGTGTCCTATGAAAGTAACCACTTGCGGCACCAGCGGCTCCATCCCCGACCGACCACTGAATTCCTGGATGCGATGAGAAAAGCTTCGACGCAAGGCATCTCCACACGATTCATCGGGATTTCAGGTGAGGGCTGGGGGTCGGTATGTGGGTTGCCCTGTCTACTCTGTCTCTCTCTTTCTCCGGTGCTGTGACTCCCGAGCCATCTCGAAGGTCCAGCAATACGAGGCAGAGGAGTCTCAAGGCCAAGGACTGGAGTCCGGAGTCCGGTGTCACGTGAGGAAGGTCTTAGAGAACGAAAGCTTCAGTCTTGAATGGACTCGGGGTCGCAACTAGCTGTGGGATTCATCGGCAACTATGGACATTGTGTCCTCAACGCAAGCAGAAGGTTATACCGCACATCAACATCTCTTTCAAAGCCCTGCTAGATTTAACTAGTTCCTTATAAAGTCTTAGAATCCTAGGAGGAGCTGGAAGAGATGTGGAAAAAGAAGCCGGTCGCTTTCCAGACGATGTGGGAGACATGGCGTCCAGTTTCTTTCACAGCTCTGTGGGGACGAACCACCCACCCAACCCCCTCAAAAGTACCGTAAACCCCAGTAGCGATTTCAGCCCAAAGTCCCCGAAACCTACGTCCTGAACTAATACTGCACCAACAGCAATGGAACCTTCAGCACCTCCATGCCAAGCAGACTGCATGCTCCCATTCTCTTTCTATGTAGGTTGCTGAAAGGGGGTTGTGCAAGGAAAAGCTGCCCAATGTCGCCTATGGTTGTTAAGGCAGCCCTCGCCCCCCAGGGAAAACTCAGTCAGTAGCCCTTGGGCCCTTTAAGTGAACCTGGGTGAACTCCCCCAACGCCTAGACCCCAAAGGGCCCTTTCAGCAGCTGCACGCAAGGTGCTGTCGAACTCGAGGTCGGATTCTGCTCTGGCCTCCTGCCTGGGATTAAGGGTTCGTGTGGTGTTTGGCTTGGGGCTCAGAGCTCACCTTGCAGCCTAAATTAATCGAAAAAGGACCCTTTCCAGGGTGGACTGTGGCCCTGAGCCAAGTCTCCATAAAGACTAAGCAGCAACCTTAGCCTAGCAATGGTTGCCGTGCTGTAGCCGTGATGCCGCGAGGACGTAAGGCCTTGGCTGGCATGGAGCCTACCGCATTCATGCCGGCTCAGGCCCTTCATGTCGATAAGCTTTTGCGGGTGTTTGTGGCTTTGCGCGGCGGAGCTCTCCCTTTCATACCATTTTTGGCCAAAAGAATTAAGAAGCATGGGGCTTCTGGAGGCTTCTGGGGGCTCCTTGGGCTTGGTCTGCAAGTTTCATCAACCACCATCAGGGACAACATCGGATACTTCTATCCATGAGGGGATCCCCTGAGAGTCGTATGGGGTCGTTACCAACTAGAGGTCCCTTTGTGGGGTTCCTGTTATTCCTTTTTGAGCTTGTTGGGGGGATTGTGTCTTGTAAAATGAGTCTTGCACGGTTCCGGATGTAGTGGGGGAAGGTGCTGGGTTCTTGATGTCAAGCAGTCTTGATGTTGAGACTGAGAGGCCCAGGTCATCAAACACCTCCTGGAGATTCACGGCCATGTGGGCACTGCCATTGCCAGCAGTGGATGATTCCTGGTTCGAGCGCCGTTCGAGCACTGGCTTCTCTACTGAAGTCTAAGGCTGGTCAGTGTTGAGGCCTTCAAGCATAGGCTGGGGTCACATGGAAGCCCGGTCTCCAAAGTACTTGAGGGCTGCATAGAACCGAAAGCTCAAACCAGTCACGAAGGCGCTACGAGGTGGAGGTTTGCCGCCTTGGGGTTCGGAATAAGCCCATCAGTATCCATCAGCCTTTCCGAGACTATAAGGCTGCAGAAATCGCTAGGCATTTCCTGCCTTGGGCGAGAGGGCTTTTCCGAGGTGAGTGTGGCTTTCGGACCTGGAAGGGTTTGCTACCTCATAAGCCCTTCTTTGCGCGAATGGAGGTGGCACCAACTCTGTCCAACTCCGTTGGCTGAAAGACAGAGTGGCAGAACAAGGAGGGATTCGGTCACCCTGTTGGAAAAAATGCCACCCCCCCCCCCCCCCCCCCCCCCCCACAAAGATGCCCCCTTATACTAACAGTGCTTAGTAAGGTTTATCGTAGTACCCCCGATGATACTCCTCCCCATTAAGGAATGCTAGATCCCAGTAGAACACACTCCGAACCGGGAGGCTTCGACGGAAGCGAATGGCACCTTGGCTCGTTCCGAGGCTTCCAAGGGATTTCGGGTTATTTCGGGTTTAGGGTTTAGGGTTCGGGCGTGTGCGAGTGTGCTTTGCTCTCGGGCTTAAGTAGGATTGAGTTTTGCAGATTTCCAGACTTCCAGTTTTTTCGGGTGTCGTTCGGGTTCAGGATTTCGGGGCTTAGATTCCAAACAGTTTAGGGTCTCTCCAAGCCACTGCAGCACATTCTGCGTTCCCATGAGCTTTGGTGGCTACTCAATGAACCACGGACACTTCAGCTTTGGAGGCTAAGCGCTCGACACCCCTAGGCCCTACAAATCAAAATGACTCTGGCAGCCCATCAAGCTGGAGATGCCGTGCGAGATTGTCCGAAGGGTGGTACGAGTACGAGGTGAGAAGATGAGTGAACAGCAGCTCAGTCCACTCCACCAACATCCTGCGCAACCATCTGCCAAGGCTCCAGGGCGTTGCTGGGCCCCGGCAATCCGAGATTCGCCATTTCTGAGGCCGACAAGCTGGTGGTTTCGGGGAAAAGGGAGCATGCACCTCTCTCTGTCATGACACTTTTCGAGTGTCACGTTGTTGGGCTAGGAGAGGTCACCCGTTGTAGTTGCAAACGTGCTGCTTGAGGCAATGGGTTCTATACACCGGGTTTGCAAAGGTCCAGAGCTGTCTGTAGCCTGATCGTCAGCGGACCATTTTGCTAGAACATGCTAATCCCTAAGGGATTAGAACACAAGAATCTTTGCTTCTCCACTGCACAACCATCCTGTCACCCGCCTGTTGCGCCAGGCCCAGTCGCGCTGGAAAATGGGAGCTACAGGCCTCTGACGCTGTGATGCAGTCCTGTCAGTACTAAGGTTTCTGCTTGCATGGCTACTGATGTCCTCTGTTTCAGATTCTAGAACTGTCTCTGAATTCAAGCTACGGCCGTGTGGAAAGTTTCTTTGCTTCTTGCTCTCTGACAAGTGGGCCAGGACCACTTGCAGTCCTTCAGCCACGGCGTATATTCAGCATTGCTGTGCATGGCGGTCCGACAGTGCAGAGCCAAACGCAGGCCGCACAGCAACGAAATGATCATGTGAGCAGCGGCCACGACACGGCTGACTAGCTCTCTTCATGACTTGACTTAGATGTCGCCTCCAGAGAGGGCACATTTGTCTAAAGGCATGAGCTCCCTTTGAAGCTTCCGGCCTAGCAAGTCTCGGCCCGACACACATTGGTAAGAGGCTTCAACGGGGTTTTCATACACAAGCTTTCTTGATGTTGAGCACCACAAGACAGATCAGGTACGAACCCCAGGGCCAGTTCAATGCCCCCCAATATCCTGAAGCTGCCGAAGCTATCACCCTGATCGTAAGCGACAGCAGCGTCTCAAAAAGACCAGAAGTTTACATCTTAATCATTCCTGCATTTGGGATCATTTCCATAATAATTTCAGGGATTTTACAATTAATCATCTTTGGCAACCCAACCAACCACTGACCTTTGCCATGTCATCTCTTTGAATGGAAGTCTTCTTTGGGGGCATCATATGTATACCGTAGGTTTAGAAAGTGATACACGAGCTTGTTTTGCAGGAGTTGCAATCTTGATATCCTTACCAGCTCGTAACTAGTTCTACAGGGAACCCTTCAGATCTCACCTGATTTGGAACACGGTCTGGAGATCCTGCCTTGAGCTCTACATTCTCAGAACGCAAAGACCGCGGAGAGGACCACGCATCGATTCTGCCCTTCTACAACACCTCCCCGAACTCGGAAGACATGCAGAAGATGAACCCCCAACAGCCGAACAATCCCGACATCTGGAGCTAGGTTTGCCGGGCTCCAGGCCACTGCCTCTGAAAGGAGTCGCCCAGGTGCAAAGGGCCTGCTTCGGCTTTCATTTGGGGGTTTACGAGCACATTGTAGGGGTAATTACCTTGTTTCTACTATTTGGGGGTCTATATTAGGGGTCCCCTATTGTGAGGTTCTGGGCGGAAGTGCAGCAATTGTTTTTTCTAGATTTTGGCGCACGGGCTTGCCTGTAACTCAATTAAAAGCCGGCATAATATACTTGTTCAAGAGATTTTCTGTACGAATTAATTATACTAGGAAATTCATGTCTCCTACCTATTGTTTATGAAGGGGCAACTATGAGTATATTCATAGCCCCCAAAAGACCCCTTGTTTTATACTACTTTTAGGGGCTTTTTGTAGGGCCATTCATAGTACTTTATAATCACCTAGAAGAACGCAATGCAATATTGTTGTAATAAAAGGACGTCGGGCTTCAGGGCCTTGGGGCTAAACGGCTCAGGGTGATCGCGCATGCGTTGGTTTTCTCTGCTTCATGTTGCCAACGGTGCTAGTCAGCGCCTCACCACGCTGGGAAATCAATGTCACTATGTGCTGTGGGCAAGCCTGCTGTTTCACAAGCGCCTGCACAAATCAATGCCAGCGAGAAACTTGGAACCCGGCGGGCAGAGCGGCGAAGCGTGCCAAACATTTTAACTCCAACGGTCCAACGACCTAATAGCTTAACTAGACCCTGCTCTAGCATCCCGGCATGCTAAGCCCATCAACTCCAACATCGAGCATGAGCCCTCTTCTACATTCCTTGCCCAAACAATAGTGCAGCGTCTGGGTGGATGGTGCTTCGAGGTTCAAGCGGGTTTGCCTTAGGTGTGAACTCACCTTGTTGAAATGTCGGGATGTTCCCCCTTATACTACCAGCCCTTAAAGCATTCTAGTACCCCCTACTATAATCCCTACTAAGGACTTTTAGTATAAGGGCGAACATCCCAACTGAAAGCGTTTGAGGACCTGGGCTCCTGTCACTTGCCAGCGCCATGGCCTTCACTTGCCCGCCCCAGGCCCCCTGACCGCACTCCACCTACTCGCAGCTCGTCGGAACGCAGGGATGTATTTAAACCACGCCTGTCTGTATCTATACATGTATAAACTTGATAAAAATCTACACATATCACGCACGCATATCAATATATCTATATCTGTATCTATATCTATGGTACCGCCCCCCACCTCCCCCTGCCCAATTGACCTGCAAGTATGTTTTTTCCTTCCTTTCTGTCCTGCTCAGGTGCGAGACCCATCCTCTTCTTGCGTCCTGGGTTCGTGGTTGAGGGCTTCGGGCCCATCAGGCTTTTTTGACAAAAAACATAGAGTGTCAGAAAGTGTTGGTTGACTCAGCATTCTCTGTAATATACCGACCCTAAGCTTCAAAACATGTTTGATGGGACCATCAGACGTTCAAGAAAAAGCTGGTGGCACCAGCATTTTCTGAAAAGGACCCACCCTGAGATTCAGAAAATGCTGGTTTTGCCAGCTTTTCTGAAACTTCTACATTTTTTCGGGAACATGTAGAACTTTCAGAAAAAGCTGGTGTTACCAGCATTTCTGCAGTAGAGAGTCAGGTCACCTGACGATGTGTGTTTCAGTGTTTCAGAATGTTTTTTGAAGGTCTGCGCGAGATAGCGCGCCTTTAGCCAGGCGGCAGTCCTCGAATGTGGCTGCGCCGCGCCACAGCAGGCCTCGGTGAAGCGGCTTGATGAGGACAGACCGTCTACGAGTCCTGCCCCAGCCCTGCCCCAGCAACCTCTCGGCCCCTGATTGTTTGCAAAAAAGCGTAAGAGTAGGCGCCCGACCAATGCGCTCCTCCTTGAGGAAGCGCGCGTCGATGGCCGCTGTACGTTCGTGGAGGGGCCTGGAGTTCGTGACCATCTGGTAGAACTCCTGGCAGGAACACGAGACGAACGCTTGCGCACACGGGGAGGGTTCGGATTGCGGACTCCTTCATGGCCGCGGCTTCCGCGAGAGCCCCCCAGCGACGGCGCACCTGGGTGCCGCCGAGTGAATAACGAAACTTCCATCGTGGACTCTCAAAAGCTGAGCTTCCAACGGCCAAGTCGATTTGCTCCACATCCTTGCCCTGGGAGGCCAGGTCGCGCGCCTGCGCCAGAGCCTCACACACAAACGGGTCAGCTTACAGACCGAATGCTCAGACTGCGATGGTGCACGACGATCGGTCGATAGAGCTCTAGGCGCGCCGCCAGTGTGAAGAAGGCCATGACCTGCAATCTCGGCTCTGTACGATCGAAACTAACAGCTGCGCTTGAATGGATAGTCTCATAAACGCCTTCATCGCTTCCTTATGCTTATTTGGGCCCACGCTCGATGGTCGTCGGGATGAGGAAGCTACAAACGGCAAAGGCTAGGAGGTTATCTGAGCACAAGTGGCTTTGGAGGATGCAACTGTGGTGGGGCAACTGCTGCAGGGTCGTAGCCGCACCAGGAATATGACAAGAGCGACTCTCACGAAGGTCTTCTTTTTGTTCTCCAAAGCAATGCATCGACCAAAGCCCCACTCTCACGGCCTCAGGAGTTGTGCACACGCGAACACGCGAATGACAAGCGCCGCAACGGACCGCTGAGGCCGGGACTTGTCTTCCCACGGTGGGTGGACATCATGCCTTCATTGCGGGCGCATGCCTCTTGCAACCTTCCATGGAAGAAACAAATCGTACTCAGGCCCAGGCCATGTGTCTCTCGGGACGTAGATGAGGGTCAGCCGCTTGCTTCGAAGGTGTTGAGACCTTCTGAAAGTTCTTCTTGTTTCTGGGAAACCGGATGGAACCTCCGGGCTTTCAGGAAACATGTAAAAATTTTCAGAAAAGCTGGGTTTACCAGCAGTTTCTGACATGGACCCACCCTGAGTTTCAGAAAATGTTGGTTTTGCCAGCACTTGGTGAAAATTCTACATTGTTTTCTGAAACCTGATGAGAAGGAAACCTGATGCGACCACCAGACTTTCAGGAAAGTGTAGAATTTTCAGAAAACGTTTGCTTTGCCAGCGTTTTCTAAAATAGACCGACCCTGAGATTCAGAAAAAGTTGGGCTTACCAACATTTTCTGAACTTTCTGGAAGCCTTTCACGAAACCAGTCCTTGATGCAGAAACTACGCAAAATGCGCGAGCATCAATGAGCTTTGTTCCTTTAATGCAATGGAAGACCCCTCGCCTCCTCTTATATTGAGAACATGAACGCCCCGTTCTTTTTGAAGCTGCTGTCATGAAAGACTACGTTTTTCGTCAAGAAGCTTCTTGTGGAATGAATCATTAGCGTTGGACAAGAAAGAAGTACGACAGCTTCTTGCACTCGCAATAATAAACAAAGAAGCGCCTATTCATTTCCTGCTTGTCACTATGAGGAGAGAGTCCCTTCTATACATGACTGGGTGAGCCCCTGGTAGCTTTCTTCCACTGCTGCAAGACCCTCCTCTTCCCTTCCTTCTAGATTTTGCTAAAACAGTCCATGTTGTTCTTGAACACAATTCACAGAAGTAGGCCTTCCATTCAAAAGATTTGGCCAATTTTTCTGCCCTGTGACACAAAAGCGTGAGAGAAGACCTGCAACAAGTTTGTTGCTGGTTAACCACAAGCCTCTGATTAAGACTGCCAAGAACAACGAAGTATTCTGATGCTCATAGTAATGCAAGAAGAATCTGCAATGAATTTTCTCATTAAATGCATAGGATCACGTTCTGAAGATGCTGTTTGAGAATCATTTTGCAGGAGACACTCCTCTTGCCCTGCTTCTCGTTGTGGAAAGCTTCTACTCAAGATATGTTCTGACTGTAGCTTGTCTTCTCTTAGTGTCATGAAAGCAAAAGCCGTCAATAACGCACAAAGAAACCTCTGTTGATGTCTTTCTCCTCATAAAGAAAATGGAGCCCCGTCTAAGCACACGATTGCATAGTCATGCACAGATGAAGCTCCTGTGGCTAGCTTCCCTTAACTACAAAAAAATTCCTCATCGTCTTGTTCTTTTCCAGCAAAAGCGCCTTCCATTGTTGCGGGCCACTTCATGAAAGAATATGACGTGCCCAAACAGGCTTCTTAGTTTCTTCTTTTTAGCGAAACAGCGTTATACAAGTAGTGGAAAGACTTCTTGTACGACTGCTAATCCATAAGGAATTACGCTTGAAGATTGGAAAGAAGAATGCCAACTCCAAAAAAACACTTACGGCAATGCAAAGGAAGGGACCTCTAAAATCTTCGTCGGTTCGTTCTTTTCCATTATACAAGTAGTGGAAAAACTTCTTGTATGACTGCTAATCCATAAGGAATTCAAGTATTAAGCTTGAAGATTGGAAAAAAGAACGCTAGCTCCGCACACAACACTTGCAGCAACGGCTGTTTACGTGGAGGCGGGGTGAATGACGGGGGCCAGTAGAACTCGTGGATCTTGAAACGCTCCACATCACCCATGCCTCAGACAGCCAGACACGCAACGTCACAAGGCAGAGCGTGACGCAAGACTAGCAGCAACTGCAAAGCACTGTCCGACCTACATACATGTGCCTACTGAGCTCTGGACGCTGGTTGCTACTAGTACCAATGGCCAGGAAGGAGCGCATCAGTCCACGACCATCGATGATGTTACAAAAAGGAACCGCTATACATCTTCGTCGTTTCGTTCTTTTCTAAAAAGAAACGGCCTTCCATTGTTGCGAGACAGTTCATGAAGATGACCTCGTCATCTTCAACCAAATCACTTTTATACAAGAAGTGCTAGAACTTCTTGTATGATTGCGATTTTGAATCCATAATAAGGAATTCAGCTTGAAAACTGGAAAGAAGTATGCTAGCTCTGAACACTCGCAAGATCACGCACAGCAATGCAAAACGGGAACCTCGGAGAAAAAAGGGTCTGTTTTGATGACACCATCGCCAAAACGGGGTCTCAGATGCCTGACGCTCACCAGCAGTTCCGAAAACACAAAGATTGCATAGGTCAATGGGGGGGGGGGGGGGGGTAGCATACACATACATATATAGATATATATATATATATATATATAAACTTAT